CCTGATGTATCTTTCCTCCCTTGTCTGCTCTGGAAAGTAAAAAGACACACAATGCGGACACTCCAGCGGCGTGTAGCCGTTATCCTCTTATGGAGCACTGTGTTTTTTTTTTTGGTTTGTATTTCACTCAATAACTTATGGTTAATGATGTCAGAGCCTACCACCCGTGAGTCATTGAGGGGGGAACAATTCAAGGAGCGGCGGAATATCACGAGTCCCTTCGACAATAATACTGACGTTCTTCTACTACCTAGTCCGATTGATACTTATCTCTGTGAATACTTAACAGATGTTACACAGATGCCTTCGGGGTGTGTTCTCTCGTGTGGCGCAGGGGGGCAGCATGACGGTGGTGACTTCAACTGCCATGTCCACACGCGTTACGTAAAAGAGGAGAGTGAACAGGCGGATATTGTGGTGAACCACTTTGGGAGTGTTCCGCAACGTTACAGCAACGGGCGGCCGTACCTCACACTTTACTACTCGGGAGAAAGCAATTACTCTGAGATCAGGAGAGGAAGGGGTGACTACCCAGTACTGCATGACAGGGTTGTGTCATGTCACCAGCACCGGCAGAACTACTTCACGTATACTCATCACCATAAGCCCTACTTCATGGACATACTGCGGAGTAACAACAAGGATGGCGGTGAGGCTCAGAGTGCGACGTGGTCTGCATGGAAGCAACGCCATTCGGCGGTTGCAGTTTTTCTTTCTACTTGCCTTGCACGCCGTGCAGAGGTGATCCATCGTCTGTCGAGGTACTACCCCGTGCACAACTATGGCTGGTGCGTCAATACCCACCGTGTGCCGGATGACTGTGCAGGCATAGGTGGACGCTACGATGAGAAGATGTGTGTGATGCGGAAGTACAAGTACGCCATGGCGCTGGAGAACTCGAGGGAGCAGGACTACGTGACAGAGAAGGTGTACCACGCCCTCGTGAGCGGCGGCATTCCGCTGTATTGGGGCGCCCCGAACATCGATGACTTTGTGCCGATGGGCCGGCGCAGCATAGTGGATGTGGAGCCATTCATTCCCGGGCAGCTGGGCGACTCACCATTGGATAACAGCACCGATGGGGAGGGTGGGTTCAAGAGGCTCGGGGACTATCTGCGGCGGCTTGAGTCGGAGGAGGTGTCTGTGAACCGCCTGCTTGCTTGGCGGCGTGCGAGGCGTGCGGAGGAGTGGGGCGAGAGGTTCGTCGACAACATGAACCATCTCGACCCGCTGTGTGCAGTCTGTGCGGAGGCCCGCGAGAAGCGGCGGAGGAATAATACGTCTCGTTAGGTCAGTAAGATTGTTTGTTTAATTTTTTATTTACCCTTGTGTATACGTTTGTGTTAGAAAATGATGGTTGAATGCATGTGTCTGCGTCGGTGGTTGTCGTGAGCATAACTCTCTGTCTGTGAGGAATAGTTGTGCTATGTTTGACCTTCAAAAAGGCTTGTTTGTAATTACATGTAGTAAGTGCTCCCCATTTTTATTTTGTGTTTGAGCAAATTAATCATAATGGGTGTATTACGAGTTTGACATGTATTTTTCTTTTCTTTGTTGGTGAGGCTTTTTCATTGTGTCTGCTTGACCCTCATTGTTCTTTTACTGCTGGCAAGGAAGAGGGCGCACGTATCGTCGCTACTAGCGCGAGGTGCCACCAGCACAGACAGTGTGGTGCGGGCGATATCTGCTCTGTGCTGGGATCCGCTGCAGGTGTCAGCTGGTGTGGGGAGACCGATGATGTGTGTG